TAATTTAGTTCTCGAAATACATGTAAACGGTGTATATCAAGTCCCTGTGTTGTGTTTTTCAGTTTCTTTACATGATTAATTTCAAATTTTCTCCAAATAGGACCCAAGGTTTCAACCAGATTTGTCAAGCACCTACCAACCCGTGAAGTGCAACATCGATTGCTCTTGTGATAACGAGAGGGAGCAATGTATATACGAAAGGCAATACGCTGAAATGAGTTCTAGCAGTGGGGTCTTGGGCGAGGACATTGTATCCTTTGGCAATCAAAGTGAGTTGGAGCCACAAAGAGCTGTTTTCGGCTGTGAGAATATGGAAACGGGTGACCTGTACAGTCAGCATGCCGATGGAATAATGGGTCTGGGTCGTGGAGACCTCAGTATTGTTGACCAGCTTGTTGATAAAAGCGTAATTAGTGACTCGTTTTCCTTGTGCTACGGTGGAATGGATGTGGGCGGTGGTGCAATGGTTCTCGGAGGAATTGCAACTCCTGATGACATGGTGTTTACCCATTCCGACACTGCTCGAAGGTACGTGTAGGAAAATTCTTGCAGTATTGCAATGGACTGTTAGGCTTCTTTTCCTAACACGTACCCTTGATACATCTCACACATTTACTCTAGTTTCGGGGTGGCAACAGCCCTTATTACAATATCGACCTGAAGGAGATACATGTTGCTGGGAAGATGCTGCCTCTTAATCCCAAGGTGTTTGACGGCAAACATGGAACTGTTCTTGATAGTGGTACAACTTATGCTTATCTACCTGAGCAGGCGTTTGGAGCATTTAAAGAAGCCGTAAGTATATTCATTTTTTGATTATCGGATACTTTTTTTTTAATCATGTGTTTCTGTGCTGAGTTTCTCCGTTTTTGGCGTGTAGATCTTCAAGGAACTCAACTCCCTCAAAAGAATACAAGGTCCCGACCCTAATTACAATGATTTATGCTTCTCTGGTGCTGGAAGGTAATACGATTGTCATTATAGAATTTGTCTAGATAGTAAAAGTTTGCAGTCAGTATTTTTGTGTAATTAAGTTCATATTTTGCTTCAGTGATACTTCACAACTCTCAAACGCCTTTCCATCGGTTGAAATGGTATTTGGCAACGGACAGAAGATATTGTTGTCTCCTGAAAATTACTTGTTCAGAGTAAGTATCTTTACTTTATGTTGTTGAAAAGCCACCCCTTCAAATCATGTAATTATTTGTTGCACCATGAAAAGTTCAATTCGTATACATAGCTGGATTTTTCCTTTTGTTTATTTATGCTGCCCCGACGTTCAATTATGTTTCCCTTTGTGATCATTATTTTGCTATATTCTCATGTACAGCACTCAAAAGTGCGTGGTTCATACTGCCTTGGGATTTTTCAGAATGGAAAGGATCCAACCACTCTTTTAGGGGGTACTTTTTATTCTATTTTATTTTTAATTTTTTTTATCTCAGCTTTAATGTTTATCATTGAATGATTGTATCTTCTGATCGTTTTTCTTTTTGTCAGGTATTGTTGTTCGGAATACTCTTGTTACATATGATCGTGAACATGAAAAGATTGGTTTTTGGAAAACCAATTGTTCTCAGTTATGGGAGAGACTTCACTTGTCCCCTGCCCCTCCACCATTGCCTTCTGGCACCGATAAGGATAACTCAACCTTGGATATATCTCCTGCGTTAGCTCCTAGTGAGTCACCGCCTGCACCTGCGCCAAAATCTTCAGGTATATCATGTTACTGTTTTTCGTCTTCTGCTGTCTCACCTGAATTTATTAGTTGATGAATCCTTTTTTGAAGAAATATGGCTTAACAAGTTTGTTTGGCATTATGGTGAAATTTTAATTTTGCGATGCCTATTTTATGTGATGGGTGGTAAGCTTTTTCACTCAAAGAACAATACCTATGGCTATATGGATTTAAATTTTTGAAGTTATTGAAGTGCTAAATTAAAATAAGATTATAAATTTTAAAGTTTACTGCTTTTTATTATTTTATTAAATAGATGAGTACATGCTAAATCAATGAGGAAGTACCTGCTGAGTTAGTAACGATAGAAGATTATGAGAACCCACGATGATTTTCTTATATGACTACGATCACAGATAATGTCCATTTAAAACTTTAACTGATGGAATTAAATGGAGAATTTCTTATTTCGTTAACTAAATTTTGGCAGAAGGGAATGTTTAAAGAAGGCCGCCATGCAGGTTTATCTTATTTTGAACCAGCAGAGTTTCTTTGTCCAATGTCAATTTTCTTTGTTCTCTGGCCCACAATACCATGATGCTTGTTCCTTGTCTTTGTTTAATGATATATCTGAAAACTGCACTTTTTGCCTTTTCAATCTCAAAATATTATGATGATTACACAATTAGTAGATATAACGAAGGACCAAGCTCTGATTGATTAGTTGGGATTGTTTGTTTCTGAAGAAATGAGACTGCATATTCCTGTCCTGCCGGTTATTTGGTTTAATAGATTGCTATCTCCTAGATCTTTGACTTGACATATGGTTTACTGTCAAGAAAGGTCTGTAATGGAATCGGGTACATCACCTCTGTCTCAATTCGAGAGAGAACCGCATCCCATGCCAAAATTTTGGACATTTCGGTTATGACTCTTATACTTTGTAGGCGAGTGGTGTTCAAAATCTTATAACTGCCATGTCATTTAGAAAAATAAATAGTTGCTAAATCTACTAGTACTGGTTATAGCTAGGAACTGGATTATCAACTTTTCTGTATCACATTCTTCTTCACTATTTTACTTAAAATTCTGTGGATTGATCAATGTTTACTGATGATTCTAATAACGTAATGAATGAGCAGAATATTTGATGAAGTTTTTGGTCTTTTTCGATTTGCAGGGGAGGTAAAATAGGTCTCATAACATTCTTTATGTTGTTGAACGTGACGTACCCAGAGTTGAAACCTCACATGTCAGAACTTGCTCTGTTCATGGCCAAGGAACTAGATGTTAATTCTTCTCAGGTAAATCAATATAAATTGTTGATCCTTTAGGATTGCATGTGGAACGTAATATCTAAGTTTAATTTTTTTTCTTTCTAGTGAAATCTGAATATATGTTAGTCAACTTTCTCACTTTTTGATATCAACTGTCGCAGGTTCGTTTGATGAATTTCACTTCTGGAGAGAATGATACCCTCATAAAATGGGCCATTTTCCCAGAAGAACCTGCTGATTATATTTCTAATGCTACGGCCATGGTAAAAAAATTGTTACAACGACAACACTTTCTTTTCTGTATACTGATAGATACTGAGGGACTCATACGCTTTTTACTTAAACATTTTTTTAATTGTTTTTTTTACAGGATATTGTATCCAGGTTGAGTGAAAATCGTGTTCATCTCCCTGATAGCTTTGGAAGTTACAAATTCTTTGGATGGAATATGGGGCCGACACCACCACAACGGTAAAATAAAATACCTAGTTTCTTATGTAGATCGCTCGCATTAAATTTATTTCACTAGAAATATTGAGCTCAAGAAATTGGAATAGGGAAAATTAATTGATCTATTGGATCAATAAAGCTTAACGTTAGAATTTTCTTTAAATTTGGAAGACATTCTTAGAAAATCATATGAACAAACAAAAATATTTTGTATACTCCCGAGTAAATATTTGATCTTGTTGCAATATTCCAGGACATGGTGGCGACAACATTACATGGCAGTAATCATAGCATTTGTAATTACGATGGTAATTGGATTGTTGGCATCTGGAGCATGGTATATTTGGAGGAGAGATAAATCGCTCGTTTCTTACAAGCCCGTTGATTCTGTTGTAGCCGAGCAAGAACTGCAGCCATTACAGAACTGATCACAAGTTTGGCCTTTGGTTTGGTTTACTATCTCAAAACTTATGACTTAACTTGTTCGTCTGATTTATGTTGCTGTCATAAGCAATAGATTCGTTTTTACTACGATGAAATGGTAGGTTAGAAATGTGAGGAGGAGGTGGCGTGCCTTACGAGCATTGCCCGATATATTATATTATATTATATTATATTATATTATATTATATTATATTTTGTCCATTTCTCTGTGAATAGCAGAATCTCATCTCAGCAAAAAAAAAAAAGAAACACGAACGCCATGAAGATTAATTTCTTATTTTTATATTTTTCACATTATGTATTCTTATTTGCGATTGAGAATTGTAAGAATAGACGAAGAATTAATGTGATGGGTTTTTCCTCGGAAATCGAGACATCTTACATGGGATGGATTGAACTGAACTGAAAGAATGCCGATTCTTTCTGATGCTTGGAATATTTACTGTTCTTGATGTTTATTTTTGTTATTGCTATTACAATTCTTGCGCATACAGACAATGGACTCGAACTACGTACATCTCCGACAAGTAGAGATGCATTCACTCTGATTTTTTTTTTGGGAAAAATACAGTTTCCGCCCCTCACATTAGCACCGATTTCACATTTGGTCCGTCATGTTAACAAAAAACACATTTGGTCCCTTATGTTTAAAAAATTCAACACTTTTAGTCATTTCCGTCAATTTTCCGTTAAAACTAACGGAACCAAGCATGTGCCCATCAATGACTTATCTGACAGACTAATGGTAAATTGACGGAAATGACCAAAAGCGTTAAATTATTGAAACATGAGGGACCAAATGTGAAATCGGTGCAATAATTTTCTCGATTTTCTTTTCATAAATACTATTGGGGAAAAAAAGGTTAAAACTTTAATTCATGTTCTAGATCATTATTGTAAGTTATATGTAGAGGCGTAAATGAATCGAGTCGAACCCAATGCATGTTTTATTGTACGCAGGCTTCACCGATTTCATCAATGGCTCTCCGTGTAATTGTACTAATTAATTAATTAATTAATTTCTATCTACCAAATAATTTTACTAACTCAACACAATGTATCTGATTCACAACTTCTTTAGAATAGTTTATTTCGTTCCAACTTCCAAAATTGTTATGTAAAATCAAACCTTCTTTTATTCCATTAACAAACATTATAACTCTCTATTTTATGTATTTCAATGTATGACATTATATCAATAAAATAACTTTTAAAAAATAAAGGGATGTGATAAATGTCGTTTGAGCTTTAATAATAACGTTACGACTTCAAACGTGATTTTGATCATTTTTAATTCCAAATTTTGCAAAACCCAAAAAAGAGAATTTGTAGTATTATGAGTTAATTTATAGATCCAACTTGAATCACCAAAATTAGATGGCGGACGAGAAAGATTTACATGAATCAATGGATACTGCTCACAACCTTGATGTAATGAGGTATCTAAAATTCAAAATGTGACTAATTCATGCATAACTTTGTCACACGACATCCAATCTAGCAGATTTAAGTTGGATTAGAAAGCTAATCCAAAGGACAACAGTTTTCGTGTTTCGAATTTTGCCAAAATCAAAATAGAAATATGTCAAAATTAAGTTCGAAGTGAAAACGATATTTAACATTTCAGAAAAAATAAATCGTGGGAAAATTGAACCACACGTATGACACACATGCATCTGTCTAGTGGAAAAATTGAATAACTCGAGCTCCATGCCAAATTATTCGTCTGTCTTGACATTTTTCTTATGTATATATAATTAATTATTAATAGCAATTAATTAAATAATACAATAAATTGCACCCAGAAACCCTAATTTCTCCGGCGCCGAATTCGATTCTTCCCAAACTCATCACAA